GTAAAATATCCTAGAGACACTCAAACTGTGTTCTTGTGACATGAAAAGAGGCTCACAAACCCGCAGCCGTGTCTGCTGGCGCCGCGGCGGGGCTGGAGCAGGCCGCCGCCCCCGCCATGGTCGGCAGCGGCGGCAGTGGCGGCGGAGGGGGCAGCTGGAGAGACAGGGGCAGCCGCAGTGCCTGCTGCAGCGTGTGCTGCAGCGTGTGCTGCAGCGTGTGCTGCAGTGCCTGCTGCAGCGTCTGAGGCTGCGGCGCGCCCTTCTGCCGCGCGGGCCCTTTGCCGAGTGCGGCCCTTTGGTCCTGCTGAACGTGCTGCAGCGCCTGTTGCTGTGGGAAGGGCCCGGCCGGGGCGGCGTGCGAAGGGGACGCGGGGCTGCACAGTCGGTGCTGCAGCTCCACCAGCTGCAGCTGGGTCAACGGCAGCTGCTGCAACACCGCCGTCTCTCTTACGGAGCGCCGCACAGTGGGCCGGGAGACCGGAGGGGGCGGCCAAAACTCCAGACGCGTTTTGAGCTCCAGTCGCTGAACAGGACCCGCACCGAAAGTGTGACCCCACCTATGGACTCCTCGTGAGCAATCCATTGGTGGGTTCACACGCTCGTGACCCCCACACCCCTACTGGGGTCACACGTTCAGTTCTTGTCCTGTTTCGCGGCTCTGGCACTCAAAATGCGGCAAGAGTTTTGGCCGCCTCCACCGGTCTTCTCGCCCACTTTGTGCCGTCGGGTTGTCCTACAGCAGACTGATTCCGAGAGTCGTTTCTCTCGAACTCATGGGGCGTCCCGTGTAGTTGCGAGAGAGAGAGAGAGGAGAAAGAGGACGAGAGGGGAGAGATCAGAGAGGAGAGAGATGAGGAGATGAGAGGAAGAAGTGCCGAGGGGAGGTGGCAGGCCAGGAGGGGGGCGAGGGTTGGCGGCGGATGAGAGGAGTGGAGGAGAGAGAGAGAGCGAGCGACAATGACGGCTCTCGGAATCAGCGTGCAGAGTGCTTTCGCGAGACTTACGCTGGGCAGTGCCGGGGGCGGTGGCAGGCCCTGCAGGGGGGCCCGGCCTGGTTGGCGGCGGTGGGGGTGGGGGGGGCGGGGGCGGGGGCGGCGCCGGTTCCTCCTCAAGGAGTGCTGCTGCTGCTTGCGCTGCTTGCGGAAGTGGATACGCTCCGCACTGCGACTGGACGGGCTGCTGAAGACGGCCGTCGCCAGTGTTGGCAACAGGGTTGGCAGTGGGGGCGGCAGCGGGGGCGGCAGCGGGGGCGGCAGAGCGGGCGGCAGCGCCGGGCAGGGCACATCGACCTGGAGCCAACGGACGGTCATTCAACAGCGTGGCAAGTAGACGGATTCCGAGAGTCGTTCTCGTCGCTCTGTCTCTCTTGCACTCATGGAGCGTCCCGTATAGACGGGAGAGAGGCAGAGCGACGAAAAAGACTCTCGGCATCAGTCTGCTGCTTGTAGAGGGCGAGGTTGCGGGCGAGATGAGGCACTGGCGGTACCTACCAGGGGTAGGAACAGGCTGCCGTTGGCGCGTTCTCCGGCTGGAGGCACATTCTGCCACTTGTCGATTGGTCGCGCCAGTGTCTCCTCTTTCAGCGAACTTTCTTCCAGTGCCTGCAATATTTCTTAGCGTTACGAGGTTTCCGTTTTTTCGAGCGCAGAAACTGCCGGTTTGCACTGAATAATTTCGACCAAAAGAATGTCATCTCTCTTTGCACACTGGGCCCTTTTGGACACCAGACAGCCGCCTGGAAGGTAGGCAAATTGCGTCACATCCCCCTGTAAGTAGGTAAAAAGCATGGCCTGACCCCTCCTCCTTTCAAATTTCTGCGCACGCCACCCAGTACACACTCAAGTTCCCAGTGCACTAACCGATTGCGAGGGTTGCTCCTGCACTGGCGGCTCGTGCCCGTCGCCACCGGACTCGTGCGCGTCGACGCCGTCGGTGTGCTCCAAGGCCTTCTGGAGCGGCTCGGGCTCTTCGGGGTCAGGCTGCTCCGGCTGCTCCGAGGGCGCGGGGTCGGTCTCGGGCAGGACGGCCTTGGACAGGGCGGCCTTGGACAGGGCGAGGGCGGCCTTGGAGCAAGCTTGCTGCGCGGCCTGCTCGAACGCCGGCAGCAGCAGCGTCGCCGTTTGCTCCTGCGGCAGTTGTTTGAACGGCGGCGCGGTCGCGAGGCGCTGCTTCGGCGGCGGCGGTGCTTGGGCCTGCGCCCCGGGGGCAGCCGGCCCCGTCTCGTCTGCTGCTGCGACCGCTGCGACCGCTGCGACCGCGGCGACGGGCTGCCCGCGCGAGGATGGCCGTCCGGAGTCGCCAGGGAGCGGGAGGAGCGGGTACTCCGGCCAGGCGCTGGCATCCGAGACGCCTGCGGGGTAGGCAACACTTTGAACCGCGCGCCAAGCGCCTAGGGGGTAGGCCACCCAACGCTCACCACAGCAGCCAAACGCTGCCCCGTCGAGGTTCGAGACGTACTTTGCGGGCAGCGGTGCGTGAGGACGTCGCGGTACAGCCGCTTCCGCACCCCGGACGCGTCGGCCACGGCCACCAACCGGGGGATCGGTCTGCAGGGCGGCGACGCGGGCGGGGAGTAGGGCTGCACCGCGGGCGTCGCGGCTACGTCGTCTGGAACGCCAAATCAGAACCTTATCGCTCTGTCTCTCTCGCACTGGTAGGCGGTCCTATGAGGGTGCGACAGAGACAGCCAGTCCCACAGTGGGCCACAAGACCGGTTGAGGCTGCCAAAACTCTAGACGCGTTTTGAGCTCCAGAGTCGCTAAATGGGACTCGAACCGAACGTATGTGACCCCACCAATGGATTCCTCGTTCGGAGAGTAGTTCATTGGTGGGGTCACACGTTCGCTTCTAGTCCCAATTAGCGACTCTGGAGCTCAAAACGCGTCTAGAGTTTTGGCCGCCTCCCCCGGTCTTCTGGCTCACTGTGAAATCCCCAAGGCACCTTGGCGGGTGGCGGACGGCGAGGCAGAGGCGGGCCGCTTGGACTCCGGCTCGGGTGTGTTGTGCGGCGGGGGTGTGGGCGCGCGGTCGCTAGGCACAGCTGGCACAGCATGCTGGGCCTTGGACTGCTCGACGCCGGCCTCCTTGGTGTCCTCGACGGCCTCCACCTTCTCGTCGGCACGCTCTTCGAGGGTCGCAGGCGGCACTGCGGGAAGCAACGGACCGGTTCTGTTTCAACTTCGTTTGTGAACAGCAGAGCCGAGTTCTGGCAGTGGGGTGACAGTTGTGGTGGATGCAAAGGTAAGCCAGTGCAGCCTGAACACAGTTCATGAAGGAAGTGGCGGTGCTGGTAGGGATCGTTCATGAACCACGTGACGGATTTAGAGTTCAATTCGGACCACTCCTCTCGTGCTTCATGTAGTGGAAACCCCAACCATGGTTTAAGTGTGACAGCGCAGCCCCCTCCTCCGTGGTTCATAAATGGTCCCTGCAGACTGATTCCGAGAGTAGTTTTCGTCGCTCTGTCTCGCTCGCACCTGTAGGAGGCGCCCCATGAGTGCGAGACAGACGATAACGACTCTCGGAACCAGCCTGCTAAAGGGCATCCGGCGAATTTCTCATACCAGGCGGGCTACTCTGCGCGACCACGTCGCGGTACAGCCTCCTCGGGGGAGTCACCGGCATCACCGCGGCCGCCTCCAGCAAGGGGGGCGGTGCGGGGGGTGGCGGGGGCGGCGGCGGGGGCGGAAGCGGCGGCGGCGGGGGCTGCAGGTGCGTTGCCGCCGCTTCGGCGCGCGCGCAGCCCCCGGCAACTTGCGCCGCGTACGTGGGGGTGTACGTGGGGGCGGGCGTGGGGGCGGGCGAGGGCGTGAGGCACGGCGGGGGCGGCGACTCGACCACGGTGACTCGCTACCGTGGCAGAGTGCTCGTCAGTGAGGCAGCAACGAGCGGCGAACCGGCCGCGCGCCGAGGCGGAGTTCAAAGCCGCGAACCTGCTGCTTGGCGTCCAGCCCCGGCGTCGCGGAGCTCGCCGCGGAGGCCGTCAGCCACTGGAACACGTCGTTGTGCTGCAGCTCCGGGGGCTGCGGCGACGGCGGGGGCTGTGCCGGCGGCCGCGAGGAGTCCGTCACCTCCTCGCCGTACGACTCGCCGTTGCTGGAGCCGCCGTCTGCAAATCACGCCGAGTCAAAGCGAATCGACGGGCACGTCGTCGCTGTCCCTTTCGCTCCCATACAGGATGACCCATGAGTGCGAGAGAGACAGAGCGGTGAAAATGCCTCTGAATAAGTCTGCAGTCGACGGGCTGTCTGACCAGGTCTCTGACTGGGTCTATGACTATGAGCACCAGTAAAAAGCCAAGAGTACCTGGAGTCGTTGCGACGTCGGATGGTGAAGCGACACCCCGCAGCGCCAGGTCGCTGAAGAGGTCCCGGCCGTCCATGGCATTCCTTTGACCGCCGGGCTGCGGGCAGAGCAGAGGACGCCGTCAGAGGACGCCGTCAGAGGACGCCGTCAGAGGACGCCGTCAGAGGACGCCGTCAGAGGACGCCGTCAGAGGACGCCGTCAGAGGACGCCGTCAGAGGACGCCGTCAGAGGACGCCGTCAGAGGACGCCGTCAGAGGACGCCGTCAGAGGACGCCGTCAGAGGACGCCGTCAGAGGACGCCGTCAGAGGACGCCGTCAGAGGACGCCGTCAGAGGACGCCGTCAGAGGACGCCGTCAGAGGAACCCACTGCTCGCGGCCCACAGCGGACTGATTCCGAGAGGCGTGTTCGTCGCTCTGTCTCTCTCGCACTCATGGGGCGACCCGTGTAGATGCAAGAGAGCGAGAACGACGAAAACGACTCTCGGAATGAGTCCGCTGTGGGGCGGCGGGGTGGCGACGGTATTCGATATTCACCGTGGCTTGTGCCGCGCCGTTTCGGCTGTACCCCTTGCCGCCGCTGGAGCCGCGCGTCAGCAGGATGAGGTTGCTGAAGTCCACGCCGCCGGGCGCGGCGCGCCGCCTGCCGCCGTCGCCCTGGGCCTGCGCCAGCCGCGCCAGCTCGGACTGCTGGGCGTAGAACTCAGCCGGCCGCTGGTACACAGGAATGGGTAAGCTCATCTCGGAGGCCTTGTGGTGGAGGGCACAAGGCGTGCGGCAGCGGCCGGCGCATTTCGGACGCGGGGGCTGTAACCGAGACGGGTGGCTTCAGACAGGGCTGCGTGCGAGAGCGTCCGTGCAGCGTGAGTGTGGCAGTGGGGAGGGAAGTCCGTCTTTGGGAGGGCTGGGGACTGATTCCGAGAGTCGTTTTCGTCGCTCTGGCTCTCTCGCACTCGCGGGGCGCCCCGTGTGGGCAGGTGTGGGAGAGACAGAGCGACGAAAACGACTCTCGGAATCAGTCTGCTGGGTCGCAGTACCATGAAAGCCACTGTCCGGTTCAAGAACTTCAAGAACGGCCCCGTGGCGTGAGAGGGTCAAGAGAGACTCGGGCTGTGATGGGACGGCGTCGCGACGGGGAATTTGGCGGGGTGTGGAGTCTGTCTTCGGTCTTACAGCTACCGGGCCCCGCTTGCATCCACCTACTTGCGCTTTGGCTGCCTTGCCCGGCCGAGGCGCCTTCAGGACCTTGCCGGGCCTGAGGGAGGTCGGGCTGGGGGGTGGGGAGGTGGGGGTGGCCGGGGGTTGGATGGCGGGGGGTGTGGGGGCGGCCGGGGGTGGCGGCGACGGGGCGGTTTGGAGGGCCGAGGATGGTAGCGTCGACCAACACTTTGAGGCTTGGGGCCCTGTGAGAAGACCTGCACCAAATCACCATGTCACTTGCACCTGAGAAACGTCTTCGAGACTGCTCACACTTCAGCGCGGTTGAGGTCACGTGGCATTCCGTGTAGCCTGTAGACTGATTCCGAGAGTCGTTTTCGTCGCTCTTTCTCTCACATTCATGGGTGTCCTGTCTAGAAGACAAAAGCGACGGAAACGACTCTCGGAATCAGTCCGCTGCCTACCCAGCTGGTCGAGGGCAGAGCCAAGCACGTGCGCCCCCTTGTAGGGCGCGTTGTCCGCCTGTGGCTCCAGGGCCGCGCCCTTCCACGGCCCGCTGGAGAAGGGCTGGAAGGGCTGGAAGGGCTGGAAGGGCTGGAAGGGGGGCGCGGCCTGGAACGGGGACGCCACCAGCAGCCCCAGCGTCGGTGGAGAGTCCTTGGGGTCCTTGGGGAAGAACTCGGGCACCTCGGCGTTGAGCGTGGGCGGCGGCCGGTGCAGGTCCACCTGCGCGCCAAGCAGGTGCTCAGACCAGTGCACAGTGGGCCAGAAGACCGGTGCAGGCGGCCGAAACTCTCGACGCGTTTTCAGCTCCAGAGTCGCCGGATGGGACTCAAACCGAACGTGTGACCCCGCCAATGGATTACTCGCCGAAAGAGGAATCCATTGGTGGGGTCACACATTCAGTTCGAGTCCCAACTAGCGACACTGGAGCTGAAAACGCGTCGAGAGTTTCGGCCGCATGCGCCGGTCTTCTGGCCCACTGTGCAGTGCTTTGCCGCTGTCTCTCACACCCCTACGGAGTCGTACCTGGAACGGCAGTCTCCGTGGTCGCTGGTACTGGATCCTGGCTTCGTGCCGCGGGGGCGGACTGGTCGCGAAGGAGGCCCTGCCGGGCACGCCCTGGCTGCCCTGGCCGCCCTGGCCGAGGGCATCCCCCACGGTCGCCCCGACGGCGGCCGAGCCGGTGATGGTCTGCAGGCCGAACACGCTCAGCAGCCCCGTTGGCGGCGGCCCCGCGGGGGGCGGGCTGGCCGAGGGGCTGGCCAAGGGGCTGGTCGAGGGGCTGGCCGTGCCGGCGTCCTTGCTGCCCCACAGCTGCTGGATGCTGGCATTGCCCAGCCGGAGCTGAATATCGTCGGGCGAGTCGGGGCGACTCTAAACGCAAACACGAATGACAGTTTCACATGTGTTTCGTCTTGATCTTTTTGACCCACGAGAGTGCGAAAAATGGGTTGTGTCTGCGGTGACTTAAATAGTAGAGCTGTTGCACAGTGGGACAAAACTCTAGACACGTTTTGAGCTCCAGAGTCCCCAAATTGCACTCGAACCGAACGTGTGATCCCACCAATGGATTCCTTGTTCGGAGAGCAATCCTTTGATGGGGTCACACGTTCGATTCGAGTCCTGCTTAGCGACTCTGGACCTGAATACGCGTCTAGAGTTTTGGCCGCCTTCGCCGGTCTCCTGGCCCACTGTGTTTGCCAAGCTGTCCCCTGACTGACCTGTCTGTGCAAGTGCTGCTTGGAGTAGTGGGCGAGAAGGGGGATTGGCTGGAATGGGAATTGCTGCTGCTGCTGACGCTCAGGTAACCTTTGACGTCGCTTTGAAGCGCCTTCGTAGCGGGAGAGGGGGATGGGATGCAATTGGTTACGACGCCACAGTGGGCCAGAAGGCCAGCGCCGGTGGCCAAAGCTCTAGATGCGTTTTGAGCTCCAGAGTCGCCAAACTGGACTCGAACCGAGCGTGTGACCCCACCGATGGGAACCTTCTTCGGAGAGCAATCCATTGGTGTCTCACGTTCGGTTCAAGTCGCATTCAGCGACTCTGGAGCTCAAATCCTGTCCGGGATTTTGACCGCCTCCACCGGTCTTCTGGCCCACTATGTACCGAGTGAACTTTGACGAACATTGCCCGGTCACGAACACTAACCTGCGGAGACGAAGCTGTTCCCCGAGTCGAACGGGTGCCCCGCAAAGGGGACCCATGGAGACGAAGAATCTTTCTGTGGTCTGGCGCTGGAACTTGTCCTGCAAAGAGTTCATTTTCCTGCATGTACGAGGCTGATTTTCTCCGCCTCTCACTTGCATTTTCTTTCGCCATGTTTGTCCACCTGGTCGCGTCGCCGGTCAGCTTTTTGAAAGCCTCGCGAACGCCTGGGAGCATCCATGGCTCCGAGTTGTCCTCGATGCAGACACCGCTCTCGGTCCACCACGCGCTGGCCTGGCCGGGTAAAGGGCAAAGGAACACGTCTAGAGTTTTGGACGCCTCCGCCGGTCTTCTGGCACACTGTGCACTGCCATCACAAGGAGCTTACTTCGCTAGTGTAGAGGCGCTCACGGTCCTCGTCGTACGAGTAGTTGGCGTAGGTGGCCAGCCTGCTGTGTGGGATGGTGTCCCGGACGGTCCTCCGACCCGGACCACCCCCCGGACCGCCCTCCGGACCGCCCCTCGGACCCCTCGGGGGCCCGCTGCTGGGGAAAGGGCAGTGTCCGTCTTAAGGGGCGCGATCTGAAGGCAGGGTCGATCCTCGGGTTCGATCTTGGGGTCGTTCTTAACGGTAAACCTTGAGAATTCACAAAATGTTTTCTTTTTTCGGAGCTGAGGAAGGAGCTCGTGTTTTGCAAAATGCGAAAACCCTGGAGAATGAGTGGGGAACCGTTCCGTGGCGGTCACATTGACGTCATTTTGACTTCTTTGACTTCTTCGTGAGTGCCTCGTGTTTACTGGGTCCGTGCTTATGCTGATTGCCTGCGTCTTCTTACAGGTGACCAGGTGTTTCTGGTGTGTGGACATGCGATGCAACTACGGAAACCATGCAAGACCATTTTTATCTTATCCGATACATAGGAGCGGACAGCGGAACCTTAAATTTGTTTTTGTCATTGTTTCCTCCTTTTGAAGCTTGTCCTTCTGCTCTCGGCAACTCTACAAACGGAAGTGTCTACTCGGTATGCATCTCGGTATGCAGATGCATCTCCAGATGCATACTTAGCTCAGCTAAGTTAGCTCAGCTAAGTTAGCTGAGTACACTTCTACAGATGCATACTTGGCTACATACGTACAGGTGCATGCGTTATGTAGGTGTGTACTCAGCTAAGTATGCATCTGCAGATGTGTTCTCAGCTAAGTATGCATCCACAGGTGTGTAATTGCAAGTATGTATCTGTAGATGCATCTGTAGATGCATCTGTATATGGATACCGAGAACACACCTCAGTTTGTAGAGAAGCCGCACTCACCTTGCCTGCCTGGAGTCGAGTCCCAGGTTCCCATTGGCTGGACTCGAGCCGTTGGTGTAGTTCATCTGACGGGCGACGGTCCGCACGGCCAGGGGAGCAGGGCGCGGTGCGACGCGGGGACCGTAGGGGACCGGGAGCCTCACCACTGCAAACCGAAAAGGGCAGCCCTCGCCAGAGTTGGCCTGGTTGGCCGCCGTCCTTTGAAAGGGCTGCTTCGCTTGCTTCGCTTCGACCGGAGTGTTGTCGGGGCGGCCTGTGTTGTGCTGCCCGTGCGTGCAGCTCGCGGGCTGCTTTGAGGTTAGCGGGTCGATGCGCGATAGAGCGCCGGCCGGGGGCGAGGCGAGGCGCCGCCAAGTCCACGGAGGTTAACCCTCACAGCCACTTAGGGCCCGGAGGCCCTTTCGTAAACACAGCGTCTCAGCACCTGTAGACTGATTCCGAGAGTCGTTTCCGTCGCTGTGTCACTCTCGCACTTACCCGGGGCGCCCCTTGAGTACGAGAGAGACAGAGCGACGAAAGCGACTCTCGGAATCTGTCTGCCGGCTGCCAAAGGCGCGGACCGGTGCTGTCACTGCGCTGTGCACTGTACGTACGGGAGGGCTGGGCAGGGCTGGGTCGGCGGCGGGGTGAGGGTCTCGGTGCGCGGGCTCGCCGGCGACCGGCTGACCGGTCCGAAGCCCTGTGCCAGCCGAGCGCGCGGGCAGGCCTTGGCAGGCTGGCGGCTGCTGTCAAGGGGAGCCCTTGCCGCGACCAGCTGGGGCCTGCGCTGGCGCCATGCGTGTGGGACTGTGGCCGGACGGGCCAACAATGTCAATAATGCGATTGGAAGGCTAAGCCTGGTGCGCCTTGTGGAACGCGACAAGTGCCGACGAGTAGAGGCGGAGTCAAGGAGTCGGAGTGGCGCCAGTCAGCCAAACGGGCCCAAATGGGCTGCCTACCTTCACGGCGCTTGAGGGAAGACCGGCATGGTCCCCTCAGAGTTCCTGGTTCCGCCCGCTGCCCGCGCGTTCAGCTCACCCAGCACTCTAGCACCAGAAATCTGATGCTGATTTAATTTTTTTTCTCATTTTGGTGCTTTGACAGTCTTTTTCAATTGCGTATGGCTAAATACTGTTCACAGTGGTTTTTAAATATACTCTGGTGCTTCGACTCAATTTTTTGAAAAACGATTATTTTTCTTTCAGTGGTGTGGAGAGGGATATGGGTCTGATTTAGTGAAGACAAGCTTGTACAAAACAAATATTAACATTTTATTAATATTAAAATTGCAATATATCTTCGAATATACAAGAAAATGTACAATGAGTGAGCCATTTGGTTCAACCTAATGTGATGGACAAAGGGCAGTCTTCAAATTCATTAAGCCTATCTAAAACTAGCTATTTACAAAAATAAATGATATGCATAACATTTATATAACTATCTAGCTTACACAAAACTACATATTCTGGTCAACGTCTTCAAAAATCATGCTAAAGAGACTGAGAACAGTTTTTACAGCAGACACAATAATTACATTCAAATAATAATAATAAATTTACTTAAATGTACACAGTCATGCTTCATTCCAAAAGATGGCAAGAACAACATCGGGATCACAGCTAGGTTGGACTTCCTGCGAGGAATTCGTCTCCCACTAAAAACTACAAAATATGGTTCACTTAAAAAAAAAAAATGGAAAGATAGTTCCGAAAAATCTCTCTCAAACATGATACATACAGAAAGAGAATTACGGAAAGAAACTACCACTCATTACAGGAGGCATCCACGTCAAAATATTGTTATGAAACAATGTTTAAAATACTAAGATAAATACAAGTCAGAATAAAACCTAAAAAACATTGGCTTCCTAAACTAGAAGCCATAAGACATACCATTCAATCAACTCCTTTGCAAAAGAACTTGGACGGAATGTTAAATTTACATTTTTGATACACGCTCTCTGAGAGCCTTCAACTCTGCAGTGATACCAGCAGGCAGGTCAGCGCCTACTTGATCGTTGAAGTATCTGGCAATGTCGTCAACCTGAGTGTAACAGAAAAGGAGACAGATTAGTCAAAGCTATTCGACATTTTTCAGGGAATACTTTTAGCATTCGCCTGATTTGCAAAAAATGACTGCAGGAAAAATATTGTGTGACGAACCTCTTGCAGCCAGAAGTCCTTGGGGAGGCTGAAGAGGGCCTGCATGTCCACCTCCTCCTTGAGGCCGTCGAGGCGCAGCGAGCCGGCGGTGGGCACGTAGCCCACGGGGGTGTGCTTGGCCACGCTCTCGCCCTCCACGCGCCGGATGATCCAGTCCAGCACGCGGGAGTTGTCGCCGAACCCGGGCCACAGGAACTTGCCCTGGAATCGAAAGGGGCGGGTTTAGCACAGTGACAGAGGAGAAAAAGTTTTCGACAAGTTTCATCGGTTGGTGGAGGGTGACTTACATCGTTGCCCTTGCGGAACCAGTTGACGTGGAAGACCTTGGGCAGCTTGCGGCCGGTCTGGTCCATGCTGAGCCAGTGCGCCAGGTAGTGGCCGAAGTTGTAGCCGAAGAAGGGCCTCATCGCAAATGGGTCGTTCATGAGGACCTTGCCCTTGTGCTCGGCCGCGGCCGTGGCCTCGGAGCGCATGGAGGCGCCGACGAAGACGCCGTGCTGCCAGCTGAGGGCCTCGTACACCAGGGGCACGCCGGCGGGGCGGCGGCCGCCGAACAGGATGGCGTCGATGGGGACGCCCTCGCTGGCCTCCCAGGCGGGGTCGATGATGGGGCACTGGGTGGCGGGGGAGCAGAACCGGGAGTTGGGGTGCGCGGCGGGCACGCCGCTCGCCTTGCTCCAGGGGTTGCCCCTCCAGTCCGTGATGGTGACGTCGGCGGGGGTCTCGTCCTCCAGGCCCTCCCAGAAGACGCCGCCGTCGCTGGTGGTCGCCACGTTGGTGAAGATGGTGTCCTTGAAGATGGTGTCCATGGCGTTGGGGTTGGTCTTCCTGGACGTGCCGGGGGCCACGCCGAAGAAGCCGTTCTCGGGGTTGATGGCGCGCAGGCGGCCCGACGAGTCGAAGCGCATCCAGGCGATGTCGTCACCCACGCACTCCACCTTGTAGCCGGGCAGGCTGGGCTGCATCATGGCCAGGTTGGTCTTGCCGCACGCGCTGGGGAAGGCCGCCGCGATGTAGCGCTTCTTGCCCTCGGGGTTGGTCACGCCCAGGATGAGCATGTGCTCGGCCAGCCAGCCCTCCCTGCGCGCGATGGTGGACCCGATGCGCAGCGCCAGGCACTTCTTTCCCAGCAGCGAGTTGCCGCCGTAGCCGCTGCCGTACGACACGATCTCGTTCTCGGCCGGCTTGTGCAGGATGATGGTGCGCTCGGGGTCGCAGGGCCAGTGCGCGTGGCGGACCGCGCCGCTCGCCGGCCTGCCCACGGAGTGCAGGCACTTGACGAACTCGCTGGACGCGGCGCCCTGCAGCAGCGCCAGCACCGCGGCGCCCATGCGCGTCATGACCCTCATGGAGCTGACGACGTACGGCGAGTCGGTGATCTCCACGCCCACCTTGGCCAGCGGGGAGCCCACGGGGCCCATGCTGAAGGGCACCACGTACATGGTGCGGCCTGGCGGACACAGACACAGTCAAGTCAGTTCCAAAGAGTTCTATGAAATCTCGGATGAAATCCCAGACCAGCAATTGAAAATTCGAAAGAAGAAAAACAGAATCCCCGACCAGTTTTCAATTTGTGAAAGTTACTTCAATGAAAATTGCAAATTAAAACCGCTGAACGGTCCTTTTGAATTAGAGGGATGAAAAACAAAATCGCCAGGGACGCGTTTTGAATTTTAAAAATAAAGAACATTAAAGGAATTTCACTGAATTGATCTGAAGTCCGTTGCGGCTTAGCGCAGGGCCGAGTGACCTTACACTGCCCCGGGCCGGGGAAAGTCTCCAAGTCACGTAGACATCGGGATTTTGAGACGCGCGCGCGTGAAAGTCGGTTTTTTTCCGCGCCAAATCCGCCAAGTCCGCTCGGCTGCGCCGCTCCGCCACTACACTGCACTCACCCTTCATGCAGCCGGGGAAGCGCTCGGCCACGGCCTTTTCCATGTTGCCGGGGGATATCCAGTTGCCCAGGCTGCCGGTCACCCCCGGGGCGGGCTCGGGGATGGTGTCCGACTTGCGCGCCGTGCAGATGAAGGTCTTGCTCTCCACACGGGCCACGTCGGCCGGGTCGGTGCGGGCCAGCCAGCTGCAAAACAAAAGTCAGCCGTTTTGATTCGGAACTTTTTACACTAAACAAAATGATGGATTATTTAGTGGCTGCGTCCCAAGCAACGCGCTAAAATAATTTTAAAAAACTTAGAGAAAAAGAGCTAAAATTCGTACAACATTGCAAAATTTAAATTAGCATCGAAATGTTAAGCTGGAGTAAGAGGAAAACCGAGGGGGTAAACACTTCAAGAAATCGTGTACAGACTACTCGGTATTACGCTGTATTACGGGGGTATTACACGTGTATTACGGCCTTAAAATGCCAAAATTTGGCACATTTGACCCAGAAATGGTATTACGACCACGTGTATTACGCGTAATACACGGTTTTTGTGTACAGGGTATTACGCGAGTGGTTACCCCCTCGAGGAAAACCATCTTATTCAATAAGATGTATGATTGAGTTGAAAAGAAATTCGTCGATAACAGTCACATTTTTTCGCGCCTTTTCTGCACACATCAGAGTAAATTTACAACACCCCTCCGAACACCCTATAGACATTAATAGACGATTCATAGACATTTAAAAACCCCGTTTCACCCCCTCAACCCCACCTCACCCCCTGAAAAAAACCTTCACCCCCTACCTTAAAAATATCCCAACCTCCTAAAAACAGAGGAGTGAATCTGGTGTACGTACTCATGTCTACAAATTGGCCCGTACTCATGAGTGCACTGCAGTGCACTCACAAGTTTAAAACGAGCTAAATTCGCAAATTCTTTGCACGATTTGGCGTTGCCCCTCGCTAAAAACACCGAATGAAGTGCTCACCAGTTGTCGTATTTGGGCAGGGGCTGGATGGTGCCTTGGCGCTGCATCAGGGCCAGCAGCTTCTTGTTCTCGGCCTCGGAGCCGTCGCAGATGTGCACGCTGTCCGGCTGGCACAGGTCCACGTTCTTCTCGACCCAGGAGCGCACGTTGGCGGTGAGCTGGTCCAGGCTGCCATGGCTCACGCTCACGCTGCGGGCCTGGAAGGCCTGGAAGCGGATGCTGAAGCTGGGGTCCACCAAGCACTTCTTGGTGTGCTTGGCGAGGATGCTGGGGCACCTGCAACACGAGCGGAGAGGGCGGCGTTAGAGCATGGCGGCCATAAAGCCGCAGTGGATTTGTCAGAAGACCCTGGCGCAGGCAGGCGGCCAAAACTCTAGACGCGTTTTGAGCTCCAGAGTCGCTGAACAGGACTCGAACCGAACGTGTGACCCCATCAATGGATTTCCCGTCGCGAGAGCAATCCATTGGTGCGGGGTCACTCGTTCGGTTCGAGTCATGTTCAGCGACTCTGGAGCTCATCGCGTCTAGAGTTTTGGCCGCCTCCGTCGGTGTGGCTAGGATCCGAAGAGAGGAAGCAGCGGGAAAACTGACGCGGGCACCGGCCGATTTCACGCGGAAACGCCGCGTCAATCGAACGACGTTTGGAGGGAAGTGACTTACTCATCGAGGCCGGAGGCGATCCTCTTAGATTCGACTAGACGGGTGGGCATGTTGGCGGGTCGGTCGCACTGACTCTCAACAAGGCGAAGTAGTAAAACTAGACGACTGCACTTTCAATGAGCACTCGCGGTTCAAAGTCGCACACAAACACACACTAACACACACACACACTGGTAACTTAAGATCACGATTCTAACAATAAATTAGAGCAAAGTAGCTGTACAATCACTGTAGCACACAAGGGCACTGCACTATAAATCTAATAGATCGGAGCGAAAGTGTTCGTGAAATGGCACGTGGAAGATCTGGAGTCCGCCGGGCGAGCGTCGCGTGCGTGTTCTGTCGGCACTGCAGGCCATTGAAGTCTGAGGCTGACCGCGAGCGGCGCCGCATTTATAGGTCGCTCTGCACCCCCACTCCCTCCCCTGCCGGCCGCCTAGTGGCACAGCCAGAAGGGGAGGGGAGGGGGGAGCGCCACGCTTCGGGACTCATGGACGCGACGACCGCGACGCGGTGGCGGAGCGGCCGCGGCGGGCACGCTCTGCGAGGGCAGAGTGCGCGAAACGCGACCGGTGCACAGTGGGCCAGAAGACCGGTAGAGGCGGCCAAAACCCTAGACGCGTTTTGAGCTCCAGAGTCGCTAAATGAGACTCGAACCGAACGTGTGACTCCACCAATGGATTCCTCGTTCGGAGAGCAATCCATTGGTGGGGCCATAACGTTCGATTCGAGTGCCATTTATCGATTCTGGAGCTCAAAACGCGTCCGGGATTTTGGCCGCCTCCACCGGTCTTCTGGCCCACTGTGCGGCGGAGCGCTCTCACGTCGCTCTGTCCCTCTCGCACTCGCGGGGCGTTGCGCGTTGGTGCGAGAGAGACAGTGACGAAACGAGAGCAGCGAGATCAACAAGGGTGTTTGCCGGGTCGGATCGCGCGGATAGGGAAAAGTACTACGGGGCAATTGGCTACGACGCGTTGCGTAACGGGCAGCCTCGGGGGCGGTGTGGCCTGGTGGCCTCAGGGGCGGCTGCAGCAGACTGATTCCGAGAGTCGGTTTCGACGCTCTGTCTCTCTCGCACTCGTGGGGCGTCCCGGATGGATGCGAGAGACAGAGCGACGAAAACGACCCTCGGGCTGCAGGGGCGGCTCCGAATCCCGAGGGGAAACTTACGTCCACAATGCGACCAGCCAAAACGATTTCCGAAAGATCGCTTCGTCGCGCTGTCTCTCTCGCGCCGCTGCGGCACACCCCATGAGTGCGACAGAGACAGAGCGACGAAGTGGCCGGGCCGCGTGGCGAGACACGTGCCAGTGTCACGTGTTGACGCACCATGAATCGAGGCGCAGCCACTCGCTCCAGTCAATGGACCGCATCAAGTTTGGGGTGTGCGTGACCGCCCTGGAGACTGATTCCGAGGGTCGCTTTCGTCGCACCGTCTCTCTCGCACTCATGGGGCGCCTCGTATAGTGCGAGAGATGAGACAGAGCGACAGTGGGCCAGAGGACCGGTGGAGGCGGCCAAAACGCTAGACGCGTTTTGAGCTCCAGAGTCGCTAAATGAGACTCGAACCGAGCGTGTGACCCCACCAATGAATTGCTCTCCTCACGAGGAATGCATTGGTAAGGCCACACGTTCGGTTCGCGCCCCATTTACTAGCGACTGGAGCTCAAAACGCGTCTAGAGTGTTGGCCGCCTCCACCTGTCTTCTGGCCCACTGTGCGATGAGTCAAACCCGCACCTCTTCCAGGGAAGTCCCCCACCCCACCCCGCCCGGCTAGTCCATGACTGCTGCTCAATGGAAAGCGTCTGCCTTTGTTGTCATGTCCGATGGCTCGGCACGCGCTCCGCGCAGTGCGGACTGAGTAAGATATACAAGCAACAAGTACGAGTCCGGCGCTGCTCTGTCTCTGTCGCACTCATGGGGCGTCCCGTGGAGGTTCGCGAGGGCGATCCTTCGGAATCGTCCGTCTGGCTGCGTAGCTCTGCGTAGCACTGCGTCGGCGCCGGGCACGGCTGCCGCCCCGACCTCCGACAACCAGCACTACACGGCCGTGAGCGGGAAGGGCGGGAAGCGTTGTCTGTGGCGGGCAGCGGGCCGGCGGCGGGGCAGGGCCAGCCGGGCCCTTCCCCACATCAGCCGGCCGGCCGACCCACCGGCCGGTCCGCCAACCGATCCCACAATCCCACAGGACGGAAAAGTACCAGAGAAACCCAACCCCCGCCGCCGAGCCGTCGCTGCACCGCAGAGGGTTGGCAGCCGAATTAGGCCGAGGGCGCACGGTGGATTGGCCAGAAAACCGGCCGCGGCGGTCGAAGCTCTAGACGTGTTTTGAGCTCCAGAGTCGCTAAAGAGGACTCGAACCGAACGTGTGACCCCACCAATGGATTCCTCGTTCGGAGAGCAACCCATTGGTGGGGTCACACGTTTGGTTAGTGTCCCGTTTAGCGACTCTGGAGCTCAAAACGCGTCCGGGATTTTGGCCGCCTCCACTGGGCTTCTGGCCCACTGCGAGGCGGTGGCCGTGGGCTAGCCCGCAGGCCGACAGGGTGGAGCCATTGGAGCACTGGAGGGAGCAGGTCCCCGACGTTCCCGACCCGTTTTCGGGAAACCCTCGGGCCGCACAACGGGCCGTGCCCATCCCTGGCCATCCCTGGCCATCCCTGGCCGCCGTCTTGTCCGAGACGGAAAAGTCGAGTCTGAGCGATAGTGCAGGGAAGGCCATGCCTTGCCCTCGGCCATGCCGTGCTCCTGGGACTCCCTGGTCTTGGCCGTCCTGGCCCCATTCAGCTGTCTCTCACCCCTACGCGCCACATTGGGCCGGTGACGGCGGCCAAAACTCTAGACGTGTTTTGAGCTCCAGAGTCGCCAAATGGGCCCCGAACCAATCGTGTGACCCCACCGATGGATTCCTCGTTCGGAGAGCAATCCATTGGTGGGTCACTCGTTTCGGTTCGGGGATTTGACCGCCTCCACCGCCCACTGTGCGCGCCCTTACCGGGTTAGGGGACGAACCTCAAGCGCAACAAAGACAGGACGACATGCCGTAACCCACATTCCCGCGTCATCGTCGACCATCGTCGCCGTCCTTGCGCCAGAACGCGCAGCGCTTTCGATAACGGGTGGCAAAAAAGGGAAAAAGGAAAAAGAGTTGCGCTTTTTTTTTGACTTGAACCCGCGACCAGCCCGCGTGCGTCATGTTTGCACCTCCGAGAGCCAGAGCCAGCGCGCGAAATGCATCTCTTGTTACAATTCACTATTTTTGTGTTTTCTTTTTTTTTCTTTGAGCTCAGGTGGGCAGCCTGGCGGATGAACCAACGCGCGGCGGTGACGAGTGAGCACCGTGACGCACTGCAGCGCATTCGAGCGATTTCGCTGCACGCGCTTCTCGCTCTGTCGCACTCATGGAGTGCGCCGTGGGGGTGCGAGAGAGAGACAGCGACGAGTGCGGGCATCACTCGACAGACGACATCGCGCTGCATCTGCAGGCGTCTGCAGGTACCAATCGTACCAATGCAACAGTGAGTCACTGCGCGCACAGACAGACGGACAGACAGACAGACAGACAGACAGACAGACAGACAGACAGACAGACAGACAGACAGACAGACAGACAGACAGACAGACAGACAGACAGACAGACAGACAGACAGACAGACAGGCAGACAGACAGACAACACGCGCTCATAGGAAGCTAGGGGGAAGTATACAGAAAAGTGAGGGTGGCCGGGGAAAGAGGGCAGCGTCCTCAGAGACATTTCCAGTGGAGGTTCTCCAGGACGGTCCAGCTCGACGCGGGAGCTGGGAGCTCTCCAGCGGCGCGCGCCAGGGCTGGCGCCAGGCAGCGCCGGGACCGCAGTGGGAGGCGGCCAAAACTCTAGACGCGTTTTGAGCTCCAGAGTCGCTAAATGGGGCTCGAACCGAACGTGTGACCCCACCAACGGATTACTCTCCGAACGAGGAATCTATTGGTGGGGTTGCACGTTCGGTTCGAGTCTCATTTAGTGACTCTGAAGCTCAAAACGCGTCCAGAGTTTTGGCCGCCTCCACGGTCTTCTGGCCCACTGTGGGGACGCCTCTGTTTTGACGAACAGGATCCCGAAGGACGGTGCACTCGGTGCGATTGGGTGCGGCCCGTGCGGCCGGCCGACCAGGTAGTTCCACAGGTAAGGGCCGCACCCAGACGCAGCGTCCTTCACGTCCTTCGGGATCCTATTCGTCAAAACAGAGGCGTCCCGGCGCTGCCTGGCGCCAGCGAGCCAGCTGTGGAGCGCGCCGCCGGAGCGTTCCCGCGTCGCGCTGGACCCCTGGATTCCAGCATGCAGCGCCAGCCAGCGCCAGCAGGCTGATTCCCGAGAGTCTCTCTCGCACCTAAAGCGGGCGCCCCATGAGTGCGAGGCAGACAGAGCGACGAAAACGACTCTCGGAATGAGCCTGCAGCGGATGCAGCTGCTGCATCGAGCACTGCATCGAACCGGCGGAAGTTTACCGACTCTCCGGCCACGCGTTGGCCACGCCGCCCCGTCCAGCATTCCATTGCATAATTCTGCACCCCTCCCTTGAACCATGCCTGGAGCGGACAGCGGGGACGTGGGAAAGTGACGTTTAGGGGGATCCCGTCAGCCTCGCCAGGCCCCGCCACGCCCCGCGGCCACGGCCCAGGGCCCCGCTAGGCCCCGCCAGTGGCGGCTCGCCGCGCCAGACGTCTTGCAGACGCTGCCGATAACATGTTTACCATTTCATGTGGCGGGGCGGGGCGGGGCGGGGCGGGGCGGGGCGGGGTTGCCTCCTGGACACGCGCGAAGACCTCCGGAAGGGCCCGAACTACGCTCCGAAATACGTGAGCACGTGACCGCGCCGGTGGAGACGACTAAAGTATATTTAGTCGTGTCTCCGCTCAGCGTGCGCGATTCACTTTTAGCGCCAGCCATGTGGCCATGGACGCGTGGTCTCCAGCGCGTCGCAAAGGCGCCGAGTGCCGATAGTCCAGAGTGTTTGCGTAGCCCACCGCCCGCCGCCCCTACACTGTACTTTCCCAAACTGGAAGCTCGAAAGACAGGAAAACCGTTGGCAGGGCTAATCGCGGCATGGCCGGGCCTAGCGGACCGCGTGGGCGGACGGACGGCGTGTCTGCACTGCTTTCGTCGCTCTGTCTCTCTCGCACTCAAGGGGCGTCTCGTACGGGTGCGAGAGAGACAGAGCGACCGAGCGGCCCTGTGCCGTTGTTCGAACGTGTGTCGAAACGCGAACTGTATGCCCCGCACACTGTGACGTCTGCGGTCGGAACCGCCCGGTCATTCTTTCGGCCCGAACAATCCCGGAATAGGAGCACAATAAGGTCAAGGCGATAATTTACTTCGATAACTCCAAGAGGGCGGGGG